CGCTGGAGGAGGGCGGCCTGGGCTGTGGGCCGGCGCGCGCCTGGCGTGTGAGCGGAGACGGGCGGCGTACGAGGCTGGCACCAGTCCAAGGGTCCCCAGAGTCTGACGGTATGCACGCCCAAACCCGCCACCCGCCCTTCTCTCCCCACTCACCGCCTCATCGTGACCCTCGCCCCGCCCCGCCCCATCTTCCCAGACGGCCACGGACGTCAGCCATGAGCCGGCGCACGTGCAGGCCGGTTCCCCACGATCTCCAGGATATCCTCCAACCAACCACCTCTCTGCTTTACCCCATAGCCCTGAAAAGACCGCCGCAGCCCCACAGGACTCTAAGCCAAACCATAACGACGTCGAAAGCCCCGAACACGAAGTCGCTAGACAGTTGGGCCATCTGCACCTCAGGCTTCTCACGAGCGTTCTGCGTTTCATGGTGACATGAGCACTCGTGCTGCAGGCTGGGAGGAGCCTATTTCACAGACAGCCGTTGTGCGCTCTGTGCCCCCGGGAGCAGATGCTGTGCCCCACCCCGGTGATGTCCGAGAGGTCACGCCTGACACCGTCCGCACGCCTTTTGTATCTTATCACGGCGAAGTATGCCAGGCTCACAGTGTGCGTCTCACACACTATGACTGGATTAACAGCCAGTACTAGAGATCCTCGATGTGCTGTTGGTAGTGAGTGACGGCGTTTTCCGACCACATCTGACTGTCGGCATGGGTTTTGTAATCCATGGAACTTGTCTGATCGCCCAAAATCCGATCCTGTCGGGGTGTTTTCTCCGTGTCCCAGCTGAAGCCCGGGCTTCCCCCAAGTCCAGCCTGCTGGGTGTTTTACTCGTCGACGCCCGGCACCCAACCGTCGCTACCACAGCCTGTGCCGTGTGTGTTGAACTGCCATGAGTGTCGTTCGAAGTTGAGTCCGTACTGAGACTGTCCGCGTGCGTAGGTTGGACCCGTACCTGACACTGTCCGCGTGCGTTTTGTACTCCATGATGGTGTGCGCGCAGGCTGGATCCGTACCTGAACTGTCCGTGTGCGTTTTGTACTCCATGATGGTGTTGTGCGGCAGGTTGAGCACGCGCTTGAGCGTGTCCCGGATGCGGGCGGTGGTGGGTGTGTCGGCGGCCGTGCGGTTCCACACGGAGATGATGTCCTCCATGTGCCGCACGCTGACCACGGCGCCGCAGATCTCCTCTCCACCATGAACTGCTCGCCGAGCAGCGCCAGCACCAGGTTCTCCCAGCAGCGCGACGCCAGGCCTTTGCGCAGCCGCACGATCCACTTCCCGCCGCGACTGTTGGCGTCGTCCTGGCGGCCGGACGGCGGCGGCGCTGGGTCAGCACGGCCCAGGCACGCGCAGGGGGGCAGCGCGGCCGCGGCTTCTCTTCTTGGAGTGGGGCACGAGATTTACGCTAGCTTACCTCCTTCAAACGGCGTCAGAAGTTTACGGAATTACGATCAAAAAGATAGCGCATCTTACAAAATCAAACAGGTGAGCAAACAAGCCCCATGCTTTTCGGCGATGCGCCGCAACACATTGAGGCAAGGATTACACTGCGCGCCTCCGACATGCCTTCACCCCGCAAATAATTGAGTGAATGGTACCATTGGCCACACATGGACCAGACATGAGCACAAGAAGAAACACCGGCCAGTGCCGAGACCGAGAGCCAGCCGGCGGCACCCACCTCCCACATGGGTTTTGATGCCCTCCTTGAAGAGGTGGTAGTCACTGTGGCCCTTCATGTCATGTGGCCTGACACAGTGCCCGTATATCGACCAGAACTGCTCCACTGAGCCAACCTGCCGCCACATCAGCATCAGTCACAGCACCAGACACTGCAGACATGCCGGTAACACATCTCGGTGACACATCTCTCGACTGTGTTATACACAATTACCAAATTCATCGCAATCCCCCAAGGCATTTCATGTGATGCAACGCAACCTACACCTGTCTCGGCAAGCATGGATAGCTAGCGGCCCTTGGAATGTCATGGTATCAATCCAGCCAGTATGTGACAGTCTGCAATGTTCCATACCTTCCAACCAGCTTGAGGTTCTGGTCAAAGCTGGCTGAGTGTTTGTTGCCTGGCGAACGTGCCGTGAACCACAAGCAGTGCACATGCTGCAGCTTGTGATGGTGTGGTGGGATCTCCAGAGGAGGCTGAAACAAGATGGTGTAACATCACCTTAGGGGCTGATGGTCCCATTGACAATGCTGCCTCCATGACAACAGCATAACTGCTGCTGTGTACTTCAGTATGCACAGAGATATGATGACCTATAGGCATATCCTACAATATGATTTAAGTATTTCAATATTAAAATAAGGGAACATCAAATCATATTACTCATCCATGCCACTGGTGCACACAAAGCAGCAAAAAAAGGCATCAAACTGATTTCACTCTATCTTAACATAAGATGTTAGTACCCACAGAACCCACAAATGCAAAATACAGATATTTATTACATACCAGTTTATGACCAACTTTCAGCTCCCTGTCTTCCTCTCCACTGTCATCACTCATTTTTAAACTGAAAAACAATCATTTATAAGACATGGTGCCCATGGATTAAACTCTTATCATACCTTCATAACAAAAGTGGTAACATATAACAAGTGCTTTGAAGCATACAGCACCAGTCACAAAAAAACACAGATGGAGTACATTATGTCACCTTCAGAACAAAGGTTATCATCATACAAATGATGACCATATAGGTATAGTCAAACTCAGGAAGGTGCAGAGTGCGAGGAAGTGCAACCATAATCACCATTTGCAAATAAAATACTGTTATAAGTGACAGATGAAAGCCCTGCAAGGACAATGAGTCTGGCCATTAAATACCTACTGCAGTATTGAAGTACCCACTGAAGACTGCATGATTAAATCATAACATATGTATGTAACTATGTGCATAGATTATTGTTTTAACACTGTATTTCATGCATTTTATCATGCTTGCAATATGTTATTTTGCATGTTTTGCAACAAAACCTAATGATCTCATATCAATAAAGAGAAATTGAGATTCTCATCCTGAAAATGCTTAGATGTACCACCCTGGTTTCTATGACAGTATCTCCTTACTTCTTATGCCAGATTAAGCACTTTGTTGTGCAGCATTGGTCAAGTACAGGTGACAAATGAGGTTCCATGGTAATTTTTATCCAATATTTTGAGAAAACATCAACACAGGCTGCAGGGAGGTGCTGTTGTATGCTACAGGATAAAATGGGACCAGCAGCATAAGTCACTGTCTTGTACAATGCTTCTGATATGATGAAAGCTAGATTGGTACCACCAATTCATCACAGAGCCAAACCATTTTTTAAAATAAAAAGTATGGCACTTACGCCTCAAATTGATTCCCTGACTTTGCACTCATTTTAGCACCTTCAGGCTGCAGCTGCAACCTTCAAAACACAGCCTTTTATGGATGGCCTCAAGCCCCACAGCTTTCAGAATGCGATGAGTATGGCGTTGTCCTTGAAACTGCCCTGAAACAGACGACAGTTACAGTCGTCATTGCTTGTTCATGTCATGTATGGCACGGGCAGTTACAAACACGAAAAGCTCGCAGCCATTGATTTGATACCACAGCGACGGGTGTATAACCAGACACCGCATACCAAAGGCAGACGCCCTCGCTCCACTCAAAATTCGAAGGATACCGACCCTACCTTGATCAGCGATACAACGTTAGCTTCTGTGTCCCAACTTCACCACACACACACCCACCACCCCCAATTTTCTCGTGGTCCCACAGTGCCGATGCTATTCCGCCGTGCGCGGTGTACACGGTGTGGTCGCTGTGAGTGTTGTGAAGTTTTTTTTGATATCTTTACTATGTAGACTTCACTTCACAACAAATATGTAGGGCGTTTACTCGATATTTTTGGTCAATTTGTCATATAATACCGTATATATTTGAGGAAAATAGGCTGAAAAGGAACTATTTATGCATATTCTATCCGTAAAATGGCAAAAACGTCAATAAATTACAAATATTTACCCATCATTTGCGATAAACTCTGGTGCCGGTAATGGCTGCCAGAATTTGGAAGCTTTGTTATGCCTCAATTATGGACACGCAGAGACAAATCGGCTTGCACAACGTTGCCCTGGGCACTGCCTTGCCGACGAGTGACGGCCAGCTGCCACGAGTGTGTCCGTGCTGGGGCGCGTCAATTATAGGCAGGTACTTAGATAGCTATTTTGACCATGCATGATTAGAAGGCACTTTCGTTTAAATTAGACGTATTTATGTGATTCCCACGCTGCAAATGACCCGTCTTGCGGACGCGTCGTAAAGAGGCCATCTTGTTAAGCTTGGGTGATCTATAATGGGTTACGGCTGTTTTCCCCGCACGATCTTGAGCTTGTGCGTGGTATAGCGTCCATTTCCATTAGTATTTTGTGAAAGAACAGCTTTTGATAATGTTGCAAGCATGTTATGCTCGTGTCTGTATATTTTTTAAATTATTTTGGGCATCATCATGAAATATGCTAGGCATTTTTGGGTTGTTTGCTTTCACTCCCCTGGCTGTTCACCAGCTATGCTGGGTAATACCTCCATTCTCCTGTATGTACAGTGAACCATTTTACATGTTGCATTACATGTTACATCATAGCATATTGCCCATGTGGCACATGCCAAGGGTGCTCTTTAAACCCTGATTTTGACTCTGGAGATGAGTCTGCCAAAAATCCTTTCACTGTTTGGATGCTACATAACATCCATGTGGCCTGACTTGTGGAAGCATTCAGTAAGTTGGACAAGGCAAATTGACTCAAATTTTTAAACTGCTGTGGTGTAAAAACATTTTCAGACTCCTGTTGTGCAAATTGCCTTTATAACATTGTGATGCCCTGAAACATTGGGCCTCTAATGCAGTGAAATTGGTGGCCATTGTGTATAGGATTCTGTCTGCATTATGCATGCAATGCATCTGCATATGCATTGAAACTGTTGCAGTAATGTCACTGTTATGCCAGATATGTTCAGCATAATTTGTTGTTTTTGCACTCTGGACAAGAAGCATGAAACAAAGATAGCTATCCTGCTCGCCATGAATAGAAGAGAATGGTGTTTGATTTTGGGGATTTTAATGTTAAAAAAGATGAGCATCATTTATATTTACACCTGAGTGTAACTACTGCATCCAAACTCATCCCAGCCCCTTTGTTGTACTTTGGTTTGTCAAATGTCCATCCAAACCCTTATGTCCTTGCATGTTTAAAGAATGCATAGATGGTCCCCTTTTCCCTTCTGACATGGTTCTTAGAAATGTTTTGGAATATCCCTTTGAATGTGTGCAAAAAGCATACTTTGCAATAGGTATGCTCATTTTACAAAGGACTTGGGTCATTATCACTCTGTCTGCTCCTCAGAACATACTTTGTCAGATGCTAGCAGGCATCAGTACATTTAGAAATTTTAGCAGGTAGATCCAATTCGCCAAAAAGGTGTATGATACTGAAGGCCATCAAGCAGTCAACCTAATGCCTTCTCTATCTGAATTATGTAATGTATAGTACAGGATGAGTCGATCCAGTACATTAGAGACAGTGCTCCTTCATGCAATTTAACACAGTATCCTTCCCATATAAGCATATAAGTCCATGCAAAAATGGCACTTGACTGAGGATGGAGGAATACCAATGCTGTAAGCATGTAATGTACCTGTATTTTTAAGTCAGGCCTTGCATTGTGTGCTCTATTAAAGATGTCTTTGAGCTCAACACATCAGGGTTACATAAGATTACTAAATAAACTAGCTGCGGTCATGTTGACAGGCAAACATTGAATGGTTCTGCTTTATGGTGCATAGGCTGCCTTGACAGTGCATGCTTGCTGCAGTTGAAATACTCCTGGGGTATGCGCTTAAGCTGGGGATTTCGCCATCTTTGTGAATGGCATTCCGCTACATGTCAGTGCACCATCAAACATTTTGCTGAATTTTTGCCTCAACATGCCTGTGAAGCAGTCACATGAGCAAGGTGTTTCCTGTGAAGGGTCCATGTGCAAGGTGATGCAGACTGTTCTTTGCAATATGCACCTGACTTTACCTGAGTGGCACCAAAGTACATGAAGCGTGGCAGGAGGGAGACCTAGGTGTGCTTGGAGACAGCCAGCTGGGATTTTGGGAGCAGGCAACACCAGCAATGTCAAAAGCAAAGCTGGTTCATGAATTTGCCATCATAACTACTTCACAGCAGAATCATGCCTTTATCCCATTTTTATGTTTTTATCTCTTAACTCTACTTATCTGTTGACTTCACATTTGGTGTATATTCATGCATGTTTGAATGTTTGTAAATTTTAGGTGCTTTCACTCTGTATGACATAGGTCCAAGAAAAGGCATGTTGGTTTGGGTCATTCATTCACTGTTGATGGACTTGCAATGTAAACTAAATAGTTCTTAAATCAGCAACCCAGGTGGTGATCATTCTGTGGTAGTTGTTTGTGAACCTTAGCCCCTGCTTGCTTGTACTTGTATACATATAGAGCATACACTGAGTACAGCTTCATCATACAAGGGTCATTTGGTAGTCTGGGCTTGAACAATGTGGGGCAGATCCAAAGATAAGGACAAGCCTTGTCTGGAAAGTGAGGGAACAGCATCATCTGGGGGGACTCAGTTGCCTCAGGGTGTCATTACTGTACTACAGATATTGGCTGAGTGACATCATCATTGTATTCCGTCGCTGATCCTTGGTGGAGTGGTCTGCCATTAAAAGTCCTTCACAAGAGTCAAATCAGATTTTACTAGCAGCCACCATTAGAAAATATATCATATATCAGGAGCCAGCACTGGATATCTGGAGCCAGTACTGTTTAAGATAGTCCCATAAAGCCCTTTTTACCACACTGATTTGAGTGATTCACATGAATGGTTTTCAATTGAGTACCTGCTAAGCAAACCCTGTGTGTACTGTGAACACACCACCCAGGCTGTGCCATCTAGTTCAATGGATAATTTTGCCTGCACCCTTTCGCCGGACATTGCTGAGGAGGGTGTCACGTGCTGCACAATGCTGTAGCACCCTTGGCCTGAGGCCTGGTCACCCTCTTTGGTCAGCTGTCAGCTGAATGTCAGTTGCCTGCATTTCATTTGGGCCAAACAATGCACACTCCTTTGGACTTGCGCCTAGCACCACGGGGCTGCTAGTTCAGCATCTTCTTGTGTTGCATGGAGATGGCGCCTGACTTCACATGATGTTCCCTTTGACTGGAATGCCCTCCTGCGTGACACGTTGACCCCAGCCACCGCTGTGCGACTCAGACCCAAGCCAGGCTCACACTGCATCTGCGCCATGTATGGCATACCTCATGCTGGGACATCCTGCATGACAGGGACAATGGAATTTTCCCCAAGCTAGGTGGGAGCAGAGGCTGCAGTACACATTTGGTAATTTTGCTCATCTCTTTCTAGCCCATGGCATAGGGTCAGTTTAATATCCTAAGAAAGTGAGCGTTAGTTAGCTCCCCTGGTGCCCTAGTTCCCGTGCAGTCCCACCT